TGCTTATTTGACAATTTGCTGATTGTTGAAGGGGTCTTTAATCATTCCCAGCAGGGAGGCTGGCTGGAATTCATGTCTGGGAGAGGAATGATCACTGCACAGGGATAATGTGGTTTATTCCGTGGGAGTCCAGGTCTCCAGATCTTTGATTGTCTTGACTGCAGTCAATAAAACATGCTTTGACTTTCAGGAAACCATGACTTTCAGGCTCCCTTTGGATAGGAGATGTCCTGAATTTGCTGCTGAACACAGAGGTGCCTTCGAGAGCTGGAGGTTTTGTATCCCCAGGAAGCATTTACTGAAATTCTGCTCTCATGGCATGAGGGATACCGCAGTCCTGAGCGTGGGTAGTTCAGCTGGCTGGGAACCTAAAAAACGATCTATTTATTATATTTGAAAAGGGGAAAAAAACAAGAAAGGACATACCTGAAGGGAGGTTTGCTGCTTGCAGAGCCAGATGTAAGTTCTGGCTCCCAGCCTGGCTGAGCTGTGACCTCCAGACTTCCCTGGACACCCAAACCTCAGAGTGGCTCCAAGTTTTGCAGAGCACAGCAAAGCACAGCCACTCTGAGCTCTGCTATTTATTGGAAGCAAAGCTGGCCTGAAGCTCGGCATTTAAGGTTTCCTTTGGAAGAGGCACCTTGCAGGAAACTCCCCAAATTTGATACCTTGGTGCTGAAATATTAGCTGAGGTTGGTGTTCAATGGAGTGAGCACTGTTCAGAGTGGAAGATCAGAGGGTTTGGGACCCACCTTCCATATCCCACCTTGAGAACCCCATCTCCTTAGTCTGTGGGGTGGTTTGGGAAGTCTCCTGAGGGCAGGATTGCTGGTAGCCCTCAGTGATTAGTTTCCAGTCCTGCCCCCATCCTCTATTAGGTGTTTGTCATGGTCTCCACTCCTTCAGGGCCCCCCTCCTTGTACAGCTGCTCCTTTTTGGCATCTGCCAACCAGGAGGTTGGTGCTCAGGCACTTAAACTGGGCATAGGTGAATCTGCCTGCACACTGAGCCCTTTTGAGGCTGTCCAGGCCAGTGGTGGCTCAACTGGAGGTGGGAGCCTGCTCAGCCTTCCCTGAGCCTCCAAACAGGTCCTGCCTGATGCTCTCCTTTAGGAATTCTTTAGGAATTGCTACACTAAGATGCTCTCCAAATGTCTCAGTCACCACCAGCCAGGTGAGTGCCTGTAAGTGTGGCTTCCACCCCAACATCATCCTGGTTTAGGATGAGATGGAGACGCTGACACTCTCATGATCCATGTTAAAGGTGAGGACACCGTGCTCTCCGTCAGGGATGTGGAGGCTGTAGGACAGGGCTGTGACATCTCATTCTTCACTGAAAGGGTGGTCAGGCATTGGAAGGGACTGTCCAGGGAGGTGGTGGAGTTCCCATCCCTGGAGAAGTCCAAGGAATGACTGGACATGGCCCTGGTCTGTGTGACAAGGTGGGAATCAGTCAAAGAGGGGACTTGATGATCTCAGAGGTCTTTTCCAGCCTCAGTGATTCTGAGATTCTGTGACTGGAGCCCCTCAGCACAGCGATGGCAGCAATCTCCCTGGCTTTGGGAGTGCTGAGATAAGCTGGCACAAGGATCCTCCTTTCTCCTCCTGCCCTGGGGTGGGGATGGCAACCTTGGGGTGATCTTAGCTCCGTGCTGGGCTCCAACCCACCCAGCCAGGGCCAGGCAGGACATGGGGAACGAGGCAAGACAGAGGTCACCACCACAAACAGCTCCTGGGAGGAGCTCTGTTTGCAGTGAAACAGCTCCTCTGTGGGTGAGAGCATCCAGATCTGTGGGATCAATCTGTCCACACATCCAGAAACTCAGGGTGGGCTGAGTTTGCCAAGCTAAATTATTCTCCGAGGAAGGGCGGCTGGGATTTCATCTGGGTTTGGTTTCTCGCCCTGCCCTCGGCTGTCCTGGATACAGCATTTCCCCTCGAGGCAGCTGTGCTCCAGCACAGACCTCTGTGCAGCAATGCCAGGTGGTCAGAAAATGTGCTCCAGCCCAAAATCTGGCTGCCTTTCCCTGCTGGATGAATTATCTGTGAAAACCTCTCACGGCTCGCACAAAACAAGGTAATTATTCAGCAGGCGGGGGATACGCAGAGCCAGAATATGAAATTATTATCTGTTAGTGATTTACAGAGAACCACAGACGGTGTCAAGGAACAGCAGCTGAATCAAACTTGCTTTGGCAACCTCGTGGCTCCCAAATGCTCCAGGCGACCCAGAGGGGCTGATGGAGAGCTCACAGCAGTACCCCTGTGCCCGGGGGAGGGGGCTCCTGGGGGTCTCACTCTCCCCAGGACAGAGCCAGGTGGTCCACGAAGGGGAAGGATGTGCTTTACATAAAACCCTGAGATTTCAGGATGGCAAGGACCATGATGCAGGGGAGCTTTTGATGTTTTACACAGTAACCAGAGGTTTTTGGGGCACAAATAGAAGATGTCCCTGCCCATGGCAGGCATTAGAGCGAGATAACCTTTCCTTCCTTCCAACCCAAACCATTCCACAGCAAACGGGTGCATCTGACAGATCTGAACAGCCTCCTAAACTCTGAAGGCTGGAAACTGCTTTGCTGCCAGTGCAGCTCTGCTGGAAAATCACCGAGGCAGCGGCTTTCCAAGCGTTTCTTCTCACACTTCCTTCAGTAGCAGCTTTGCAAACTCTCTTCCTCAGCCAAATGCTTCTCCCTTGGCACCCGTGATTGCTCTGGCAGGTTTGTTGTTCACATTCTCAAACCAAACCGTTCCTTGTCCTTCAGCCCCAGGTATTTTCCACTCCATACCCCCCACACCCTGACTTTTAGGTTTTAATTGATAGGGTAAGGGGGAATGGATTCAAACTGAAAAAGGGGAGGGTTAGATTTTATTTTAGGAAAAAATTCTTCCCTGTGAAGGTGGGCAGGCCCTGGCACAGGGTGCCCGTGGAAGCTGTGGTTGCCCCTGGATCCCTGGCACTGCCCAGGGCCAGGCTGGACAGGGCTGGGAACAGCCTGGGACAGTGGAAGGTGTCCCTGACATGGCAGGGGTGGCACTGAGTGGTCTTCAAGGTCCCTTCCAACCCAACCCATCTCAGGATTCCATGATTTACTGTAACAGAGTGCAGGCGGTGCTGCCCTTCTCCAGGTGTGCTGTCAAACCCCAAAATCCGAGCATCCCCAGCCCTCCACCTCCTCATCCCACAAAACCCTTCCCCGGAGCACGGCAGCCCCTGCACAGCGAGGAGGGGTTTGTTCCCAGCCGGCCCTGCCAAGCTCTGCCTCCTGCTTCCCACTGACGGACATTTCCCAATCACAGCCCAGCATCCCGCACAAAGCAACTCATGTCATGAAATTAAGTATTTCTCCTACACACAGCACATTTGCCCGGTGATTAAAACGAGTCCCCGAGGTAGCCAAGCACAGCAGAATTCCGGTTCATTATGCACACCCACGCAGCCAAGCTAAAAACCCAAGACACTCCCCCAGTCCTTCTTGGGAAAGCCTGAGCAGCTCAGATTTCAGCTTCACCACTTGCACCAGCCGGGACTGGGAATACTCTGTCATCTGGTGTAGGAAAAAAGGTAAGGATAGAAGTTTCCCAAAGATATCAAGGTATCCCTTATGGTCTGAGAAAGAGGGAAGGGTGTAGGAGCACAGGAATGCCGAGCAAATGGAGCAGATCACACAACTGTGAGTGGTTACTGCCTTTTGCTCATTCCATCTTGGATTTAGGATGAACTTTTAACACCAAAATGTCTTAATTTCCCCCATTTCTCAAAGCACCTGTTCTATGTCACGTTTCACAAAATGACAACTACTTGATGAAAAAGAGAGAACAACTATTGCATATGTGCGGTGTATGATCTGTCCTTGCTGCAGCAGCTTGAGTCCAACCCCATTCCCAAGATGAAACGGGGCCAAATCTTTTCCGTATTCCCTGCTGGAGCTGCTCCCAAGCTGCGGTGTGAGCACAGGGAGCTGCAGTTTGCTCTGACCCCATTAGGGGCCGAGCCACCCGTGAAATCAGCGCGGGCTGTGCCTGGGACTCGGGGACGAGCAGCTGCAGCTGCTGGAGTCAGAGCAAAGGGGAAGCACGTTCACATGGAGGTTTTCCTTTCCCTGCAGACACAACCTCCTGCCTCATTCTCTCTTCCTCCCATTCTCTTTCTCTCCAGGCACAATATTCCCAGTGCCCCTGCCCTGCTGGTGTCTCCAGCCCTCCCTCGAGCAGGCGGCTCTGCTCCTTCTCACCTCCATTCTCAAGGTGGAGACACCTTCTCCTCCTTCTCATCAAATTCCTCTGTTCTTTTCCTTCCTCCCTCCAGTCCTGACCCTCGTCCACCCACCTCCACAGAGACCTTCCGTGCCTGCACCAGCTCTAATCCCAGCCCAGCCCTAATCCAGGCTCCCCTCCCCTGTCCCATGCCAGCCACGGCTGTCCCTGTCACCTCGTCCTGCTTTAGCCCTGCCACCACCCCTTCACCCTCCCCTCCTCTCCTGCGCCCAGCTCAGCCCCTCCTAACCCCAGCCTGGCCCAGCCCAGCTCAGCCCCTTCTCCCAGCACTGTCCGGGCTCAGCTCAGCCCCACTCGTCCCTGGCCTGGCTCAGCTCAGCCTCTTTTCCCAGCCTTGGTCCACTTCAGCCCTGCCCATGTCCCGTTCCCCTGTCCTGTCCTGTCCTGTCCCGTTCCCGTTCCCCTGTCCATGTCCCGTTCCCGTTCCCATGTCCATGTCCCGGTTCCCGTTCCCGCTCCCATGTCCAGCCCTGCCCACTCTCTTTTCCCAGACCCCGCCCCCTTTCTCTGCACGAGATCTCGCGCGATCTCCCTCACTCGTCGCGTCACGCGGGGCCTAGAGGTGACGTCACCGCGCCGCCCGTGACGCTAACGCTTCCGCGGCGCGGCGCCCCGCCCCCTGAGTGACGGCACAGTCACCAATGAAACGCGGCCGGGGCGTGACTGATGCGGCGCGCGGCCAATGGGCGGCGGGCGGGGGCGGTGCCGCGCGGGCCGGGCGGGCGGGCGGGCCGGCCGCGCCTGTCAGCGGGGCGGCGGGATGGCGGCGCTGTACGCCTGCACCAAGTGCCACCAGCGCTTCCCCTTCGAGGCGCTCAGCCAGGGCCAGCAGCTCTGCAAGGTCCAGGAGAGGGGCTGGGGGCGGGCTGTGAGGGGGCTGTGGGGGCAGGTCTGTGAGGGAGCTTGTGGGGGCTAATTTGGGAGGAGGCCTTTGGGAGAGGAATCTGAAGGGGGTGTGGGGGAAATGGGGGGGTGATCTGTGAGGAGATTTGAGCAGGGTGGTCTGTGAGGAGATTTGGGGTAGATGAGGGGTAGAGGGCCTTCTGGAGCATTGTTTGTGAGGGAGAGCAAGCAAGGGAGTGTTTTCAGGGGGTGTGTGGGTTGTTAGAGGGACTGAGGATAATTGGAGAGCTGTTTGTGGGGAGATCCTGGGAGTATTTATGAAGACTGGGGCCTTGAGGTGTCAGTTGGGGGTCTGTGGGTGGGCAGTGGGAGGGTGTGGATGAGGGGATTTGGGGAGGTTCTGAGGGGCTGCAGCATGGGGCTAAAGCCTAGGGGCTGTTAGGGGAATGTGTTGAAGGGCTGTTTAGGGGAGCTGTATGTCAGGGGGACCTGAGGGCACTGGAGGCAGTTTGGAGGTGCTGAGGGTATTTGGAGGCTGCTGGAGTGGAAGTCATGGGATTGTTGTGGGGAATAGAGGGGAGGTGGGAGCTGTTCCTGAGCAAAGGTCTGGGAGATGTGGGGACATTGACAGGAAGTCTGATGGTGTCTTGAAAGGAGTAAAGGTACGTTTTGGGGACAGTCTGAAGGGGTGGGGAAGAACAAGATCAAATAGGGGATGAAACAGGGCACACGGGGCAGGACCTGGAGTAGCCTGGGATCACTGAGGCTGGGACAAAGCAGGTGAACGCAGGGGAAGCTAGGATGGGAGGAGAGCGCAGCCAGATGTACAGGGAGCTGGTGAATACCTGAGGCAGAGCTGTGTTCCTGCCCTGGGAGCCAGGGCCATCCCGTGACCCTGCTCTGTGGGTGTGGGGCACAAATGAGCCCTGCTGGTGGCTCTGCATTCATGCCTGGCTCACCTGTGACACATGCCATTCCCATCACCCTTCCTCTTCTCTCAGCATGACTGTGCAGGGAGGAAGTGTTTGCAAGTGTGGGGATATGGTGGGAGTGGAGGGCAGCAGGAGCTCTGGGATTTGGGGAGCAGCACTGCACCTCATGGAACACTTCTGTTGTTGCAGGAGTGCCGGATTGCTCATCCCATTGTTAAATGCACTTACTGCAGGACTGAATTCCAGCAGGAAAGGTAAATGCTTGCTGTACTGGGGAGATCCAGGTTTCCTGTAGAACGATCACACCCTGGGAACTGGAATGCTTCCACACCTTCATTGACTGAGCCTTACCTGTAGATTGTTGCAGTGGAAGACTTGGGGGACCTTTGGCCACCTCTGAAGGTCTGCTGGGCAAGCTGGAGTGTCTGTAGTGCACTTGGATGACACCTTTTGCTTGGGTTTTTTTTTCAGTCAGAGCTCAGATGCATCTTCCAGGGAAGGATATGGGTGCATCTTCCCATGAGTTTTCCTCTTACCTTATGTCTGGTATTCAACATTCATTTCCTGCTATGTGTCCTTTAGCTGAGATCTTGTCTTTTTGCATTTTGACAAGTTGTGTAGCTGTCAGAGGGAGGATTGGTGACCTCAGAGCTGTGTGTGGCCGTTGTGTGAGGTGTTCCTTCCTGTGTTTGTTGGACAAATATACCTCTGGCCTCTCCTGTGACCTCTTGAGTGGAGCCTGCCCTGATGCTGAATCACTCATGCTGCCAATTAGTCAGTGATCAAATCCTGTGTTTGTGTGGACAAAAACCTGGTGTCATCTGGAGATGCCTTAATTAAAGGATACTTCCTAGTAATGCCACTTTTTGGCCATTTATCCTCAGCCAGATGGGACAGGAAAAACACTTTGGTATCCGAGTCCCTGGAGAGGTTGAATCCAGCCGAGGGGAGGTTGGAATCCTGAGCAGGGATCCTGGGATCCCAACCAGGCATCCTAAACACAGAGGTTTCATTTTCTATTGGAATGTGTTAATAGAATGATCTGTTCTTTCTAACAGCAAAACCAACACGATATGCAAGAAGTGTGCTCAGAACGTGAAGCTCTATGGCACAGTAAGTGAGGGGGCTCAGCCTCTCTTCCTTTCATCTCTCTCGTTTTTATCCTGCTGAAATCCCAGAGCAGTTTATGGGCTGCCTCGGCTGTAAGAGCATGACTGATCAATGGTATGGGTCACTCAAGTGTGAAGCTTTGACTTTTTCTCTTCTTTTAGCACAAAAAAGAGCTGTGCATCGTTTGAGACCAGGAAATGATCTGCTTGATACCCAGTAGAAACAAGACTGTGCTTACACAGACTGAGGTTGCTGCAGGAAGCAGTGATAAATCTTCATTTCCTGCTTGTCTGAAATCTGAAATAGACATTTTGATTGGTTCTATTTTGGTGTTAGACATTTTTCTAAAGATTTCACGGTGCTTGATAAATGGTCTGAGTGCCATGGCTAAATACATTTAGCTGGAGACTGGGGGTCTAAATGGAGTTTTGTCTCCTGGATCAACATTATACTCTGCATAGAATAAGGAAACAAAAGTTTGAAATTATGTTTTAATTTTAAAGTGTTAATTTTATTAACACTGCTCGTTCCCATTGTAGTTAGAAGGCTGTAACAGTTGTTCTTATTTTTTAAAGCCAAAACCCTGCCAGTACTGCAACATCATAGCAGCATTTATTGGAAACAAATGCCAGCGTTGCACCAACTCAGAGAAGAAGTATGGCCCTCCTCACTCGTGTGAGCAGTGCAAGCAGCAGTGTGCATTTGACCGGAAGGATGACAGGAAGAAGGTCAGTATTTGTGTGAAAGAAGGCTGAAAAGGCAAAAGGGCTGATCACAGTGATCCTCTGCCCATCTTCTTTACATCTTCTGCAGCATTTCTGACAGGACAAGGAGGAAAGGCTTCAGACTGACAGATGGCAGGGAGAGATGGGATATTGGGAAGGAATTGTTCCCTGCGAGGATGGGAGGCCCTGGCACAGGGTGCCCAGAGCAGCTGTGGCTGCCCCATCCCCAGAAGTGCCCAAGGCCAGGCTGGACAGGGCTGGGAGCAGCCTGGGACAGTGGAAGGTGTCCCTGCCCATGGCAGGGGTGAGACTGGATGAGCTTTTAGGTCCCTTCCCACCCAAACCATTCCATGATCCATGTCTCTTGGTTATGAAACGTTTTCCTAGAGCTGAGCTTTGCTCTGGTTTAGAGCTGTTTAATCTTTGAACCCCTATGTGCCTCTGCCAGATTGTCTAAGAAAGATCTCTTGAATTTGGCCCAAGAGCTAGCAGAGGAGCAGAGACCTCTGAATGAAGTGTGAGGTGCTGTCTGGGGAGAGGCGTGGGGAATGATATTTGTTCCATAGCCTGAGGAGCTACAGGTGTCATACCTCCACCAGGAAACCCCTTCCATGCCTTCTGTATGTGAGTGCACTGTAGGAGGCGTGTCTTGTCTTCCCGAGGTTTGGAATGCTGCAGGGATAATCCATGCCCTGCTCAGCCTCCTGGAGCAGACATCCATGCTGTTTTGGTCTCCAGTGACTGCCTGTCCATTCAGAGGATTCTTTTTAAATCCCTGCTTGTTCATATGTGACCCTAAGCTTGAAAGTGCTTCTTGTCTTTTCTCTATTTGCTTTGTGGGCAGGAAGAAAGACCAAAACTTCTTTCTGTCTCCTGTTCCAGGTGGATGGAAAGCTGCTGTGCTGGTTGTGCACCCTGTCCTATAAACGAGTCCTGCAGAAGACCAAAGAGCAGTGCAAACACCTGAGCAGTTCTTCCCGAGCCAGCCTGCAGGAGAAGGAGCAGTTCAGTAGGCTCAGCAGTGGCAGCCACTATAACAGGTGACCTTGGGGAGGGCTTTGGGCAGGGTTTGAGTTCAGGATGATCTGGCTGAGTCACACTTTGCTGTTTTGCAAACCTCACCGTGCTGGTACAGCCTTGTGCTTCTTAGTGATCCAACTTACTGAACTTGTGCACTATGAAAGCAGAGTTGCATTTGTAAAATTTAATTATTAAAATGCAGATTTTAAGCAGGAGCTCTTCACCTACGTGCTGCTCTGACTCATTGTTTTCTGTTTATTTTTAGTCTCCAGCTACTCTTCGAGGAATGATTTTTTTTATCGTTTTAGCACTGGGAAATACTGTTTTAATAGGATCAAAGTGGGTGGGAATATTTATCTGCCTCTCTGTCTTAGTCTGAAAGTCATTCAGGTTCTGACATACAATTTCCTCCTTTTTCTAGCCAGAAAACCTTATCCACGTCTTCCATTCAGAATGAAATCCCAAAGAAGAAAGCCAAGTTTGATGCCATATCTGCCAATGGTGACAGGTGAGCCTGTTACATGGGGAAATTGTGGGCGGGTTTAGTTTGCTGAGTTTATATAAGACAGAGTTGTGTGTGAATATCAGGAAGCTCTTATGCTAGAGCAGGGGCCTTAGGCTTTGAGACCTCGGGGGGCTGCCCTAGAACCTGCAGGCCAGTGCTACCTGGAATCTAGATTTAGATTGGAAGAGGAAAAGAATACTGAGCACCTCTATCTGCATGGATGGAGCAGATGGAGGTGATGGTTGGCTGAATTCCCCAATAGGCAGGAAAATTGCAGCCAGACCACCTTCATTGTCTCTCTCTTGCAGTGACAGGGAGAGAGGGGCTGGTGAGGCCTGCAGGTTTTGTGCTTTAAGGTCTGGCAGACTGATCTGCAGGGAGAGCCTCAGAAGACAGGAGGAGATTCAGACCCACTTCCCATGTCCCCTCCAGCCTTTGGGGGAGACACAAGCAATCAAACAGCTTTGCTTGAGAGGTGGTGAACTCCCCATCCTGGAGATGTTCCAGGCCAGGTTGGATGGGTCATGGAGTGACTTTGTCTAGTGGAAGGTGTCCCTTCCCATGGCAGGGGGATGGAACAAGATGCTTTTTAACATTCGTTCCAGCCCAAACCATTCCATGATTCCCTGATTCTAGGGAAGCATCCGACCCCATTCTGCTGTCACACTTGATGCTGGATCATGTTGATGCCAACTGCCTGTGCAGTGGAATGGGAGTCACTAGCAGAAACAGGAGATTGAGGTGGATTTGTATTTTTATGATCTTGTACATGCATATTTTCATTCCTGCCTTTCCTCTCTGATTCTCAGCGTTCCTTCCTCTCCCGAGATGCTTTGCCCCCTTATCCAGAGGGCCCCGTCCACGTTGGCGCAGTGGGCTGCTTCCCAACAGACTCTCGGGGCCCACCATTGTCCTGTTGCTCAAGGCATTGACATCCTGAAGTGAGATCACCTGTTGTTTTCTCCCCTCCCTCCAACTGCCTCACACACGGGAACTCTCCCTCTCCACGGATCTCTTTCTAAACAGCAGGGATTCGGGAGCATGGACCAGAGCATAGTTAGTGCCAAAGGGTTTGTTAAAGCCACTGGTAATGAATCAATCACTGCCTGCCTTCAATGTCTCTGAGATCACGCAGGATCCTACAGATCCTGTTGACACCTTGTCACTGTATAATGCTCCCATGGGAAATGCCCATCCCTGGAAGTGTTCATGGCCAGGCTGGATGGGACTTGGGGCAACCTCATCTAGTGGAAGGTGGCCCTGCCCATGACAGGGGCGCAGAATGAGATGAGCTTTAAAGTCCCTTCCAGCCCAAACCATTCTGTGGTTCTGTGAAATAGAACTTTAATAATTTTACAGGCTCCCATGGAGTGGTCTGAAACACCTTTTATCATCTGAGCAGCATTTTCAGTTAAAAGCTGGAAAAATTTAAGGACTGATTGTGACTTAGGAGCCCTGGCTGAGTGCAGAGTAGCTAGAATTCAGTTGCCTTCAGTGCTGGTGGAAGCAGAGAAGAGAATGGAAACAGGGCCCTGGTAGAACTGGTGCAGCCTGTCCTGGTGCAGCTTTCCCTCTGGAGAAGTGGCTGCTCTGGGCTGTGGGACAGCACCAGCTGTTTTTACCTCCTCATTAAATCTTGGGCTGCGATCTCATAACTCATTGTAACAGCCCTGCTGGCTTAAAAATACCCCAAAAGCAGAATGTCCTGTGCTCTGGATTGGTCAGCTATTTGTTTGGAAAACAGGAGCATGTATTGAAGGAATCAAGGGCCTTCCTTTGCTCTCAAGTCAGATATTGTCAGTCTGGCTCCTGTCAAGGCTGTAGGCCTCGCCACAGGCTTTTTTTGATGAGTTCCAGTAACAAACCAAGTGTAAATTTAGCAACTAAAGAGCTTCAGCAACGTGCAGCAGAAAAGGAAAGCTGCAACTGCTTTAAATAGACAAATGGCTGCATGTCTTGAGTGGAATAATAATAACGGGGGTTCCTTAAGTGTGGGTTTGGAGTTGCTGAGGGTTCTTTCATGAGGTGAACCCCCAAATCCCTCCCCTTTTATACAACTATCAGATTGTCCCTCCCAGAGTCACCTTGGTGTCTGGGGCACAGTCTGAGCATGCAGTTAAGGTCTGCTGCAGCACAGGGGTATTTGCAGCAGCAGCAGAGTTTGGAGTAAGGTGACACAACCAGCACCTCCTCCCTGCTGAGATCAGCCCCAGCTTCCTGTGCCCTGGCTCCTGGCTCCAGCCAAACCTCTGGTGTAGTCCTCAGCTGGGCAAAATTTGGGCATATTTGAGCTCAGCTGACTTTGGCAACACCTTCAGCCAGGGTCCAGCTTATCTGAAATTACTGCCTCTTCTTGGCTATGGTAGAAATTCCTTTACTGTGTCATACTGAATTCCCTCTGTGTTTTTGTTTACGTATTTCAGAGTGATTGTTGCTCACAGTGGCTATGATATGTGGACAGGGTGATTGACCTCCAGCAGTCATTTAAAGGGTGGTGTTGGATGGTTTGTTCTGTGTGAGTTCTGGGAGGAGCAAACAGCTCTGTCCCTGCTGCACTGGGAATAGTTTTGTCTCCCAGTGACTGACAGAACATCTTGCAGCAGGCCTGGCCTTGTTAATCCTTCTGTGCTGCCAGTGCCCCTTGGTGCTGTGCTTCCCAGCACGCTGGCCTCACCTCCAGCCCCTGGAGCTGTGCTGGTCCTGACTGGGCACTCTCGGTGTCCCCATCCTCTTGTGCCAGTGCTGGCAAAGTGTTTCCGTGCTGCAGACTCTGCAGATGGGCACACTGCAGTCCCTTCTCCTGTCACTGCAGACAAGGTGCTAAATTGTGCTTGTAACACCAGGCAGTGACAGCACTGCTGGCAGGGGGGAGGGCAGCGGTGCCTCAGGGTGCTCAGCAGTGAAGTTCATTTGTAAAAAGGTTCTTATTTGCATAGGAAAGTCCTGGCACAGTTTAAAGCTCTGTGACTTGGGTTGTACTGCTCTGAGCAGAGGATGTTCTTCATAGAATCCCAGAGTGGTTTGAGTTGGAAGGGACCTTAAAGCACATCTCATTCTGCCCCCTCCATGGGCAGGGCCACCTTCCACTATCCCAGGTTGCTCCAAGCCCTGTCCAACCTGGCCTTGGATACTTCCAGGGATGGGACAGCTACAGCTGCTCTGGGCAAACTGCCACCCTCACGGGGAAGAATTCCTTCCCAATATCCCATCTATTCCTGCCCTCTGTCAGTCTGAAGCCTTTCCTCCTTGTCCTGCCACTCCAGGCTCTTGTCCCAATTTCTTCTCCAGCTCTCCAGGAGCCCCTTTAGGCACTGGAATGGGCTCTAAGGATTCCCCAGAGCCTTCTCTTCTCCAGGCTGAGCACCTTCAGCTCTCCAGCCTGGGTTCAGAGCAGAGGCCTCCAGCTCTTGGAACATCTCTGTGGCCCCATCTGGGCTCTCCCCAGCGGCTCCACACCCTCCTGTTGCTGGGGGCCCAGAGCTGGAGGCAGCTCTGCAGGTGGCTTTTGTCTAAAGTGAAGTGTGGATGCTGGTTTATGCCTGGTCTGTGCCTTTTCATGCCAGCCTGACTTGAATAGCAAAATCTTTAAGCTTGGCGTTTGCTTTGCCTAATTTCTGCCACTTAACAGGTGTGGAGTTTGAGGCAGTCAATTTGGTTTCTGTTCCAGTCAATATAGAAAAGCAGGTGCCTTGGGAACAGCTCCATTTTTGTCCTCTGTCTCTGCTGAAAACAGCAGGAGCTCATAATTTCTCTTTAATTAGCAGTGTGCATTTTAGGCTGTTCAAACATGGAGAGGTCATGTCCCCCTTACCTATCTCAGGGGGCTGGATCTTGAGTTTATTTAGTTTATTTGTAGAAGAAATTACTTTTTTTTTTTGTTGGTTGGTTGAATTCTTGATCCTGTTTGTTAAAGGAAAAGACTGACTTGTTTTTGGCAGTTTTCCTTTGAATTTTGGTGTCTCAGGCTGCCTCTGTAACGTGGGGTTAAACACAGAGGAACCTTTCATTACTATCTTGTCAGTCTTTAAAAAATACAAAAGAAGAGGGAAAAAATATCTGCTTCTTTATTTAGCACCTTAACACATTTGAAGGGGCATTTTGCAGCAACTGGACAGGAAAATACCTGCCTGGTATTTTATTCCCCTCCAGGAGGAGATCTCAAGTTCCCCACTGGTGGATGCAGAGCCCTCAGAGCGCCAGGGACAGGTGCTCTGTGCCAGGCTGTGACCCTGCTGTCCCTTCCTTCTTCCCATGGGGTGGCAGGGCTGGCACTCAGCTCCCTGCCTTCGCGCTGTGCTGGGCAGCAGCAGCTGCCAGGCAGGGAATTTTTCCTGCTGGAGCTGCTCAGGGAAATGTGGACATCTCGTGGCACTCTTTATCACCCCAGGGCATGGCAGGAGGGAAGCGTGCCTGGGCAAAGGAATGGTGTGTCAAGGGGTTGTTTTCAGCCAGAGGGAATCAGTTCTTTCTTTTCTCTGTGGAGGCTGTTGGTTTTTTTGTTGTTGTTTTGTTTTTCCTTCTTTCTCTCCTCCCCAGCATATTTGCACTGAGTGGGAAATTAAAGCTGCTCTTAATAAAGTGCTTGCACACAGGAAGGTGCTGGAGCACCCACTATCATCTTGCACAGCCTCCACTTGGGAAAACTATTGGGAAAGTTTTAAATTGGAATTGTTCTGTGCTGGTGTGTGGGTATGAACGTCTCTGCCTAGCACAGAGCTGGATCCAGTGTGCCCAGAGAGCTGCCACATGTCACTGTGGACTCTGCTGTCAGCATGGTTTAGCCACGCAGGGCTCTTCTGCTGCGGGCTGTCTCCTGCAGGCCCTCAGTTCTGAGTTTTCCTCTGGCAGGTTTTCTCTCCCAGTGCCTCAGGGCCATCCTCTGACTCAGATCTGGGAAGCTGCCTCTGCTTAGTTTCCCTCTGTAGATCCCCAGCACAGTGGGGGAGCAAGCCTTTTCCCCTGCCACATCCTTACTAATGAGTCCTGTCAAAGCAGACTGTAGTGCTTTTAATTAGAAAATGGATCGTTTCCAGGTGCTAGGGGAGACCCCGTGTGAAGTGAGCAGCGAGTACTCTCTGCCTTAGGGTACAGGCTGGGGACTGGAAGCTCAGAGGTAGAAACATCCTGGGGAGAGGCAGAATTTTGGGTTGAGACCATGCCTTCCCCACTCAGCTTTAGAGCTGAGTGTTGACCTACTCTGAAGGCTTTTAAAAAAGAGTCAGGCTTAGGGTGACCCTGATGATTTATCTTTTATTTATCTGATAACATCCAGACTTGAAGTCATCTTCTAGGTGAAGCTTTGTTGTCTTATTATTGTTCAGTTTTTATACAGCAGTTTCAGCTGTGTGTGGCTGGGAGTGTGCTGCCCACTTAGCATGAGGAGATAAAAATCAGCTTTAGGGATGAAACGGAAGGCAGGGAAAATCGGCTGGGCTGGGCTCCCTGGGCCGTGTGGCCGCAGCTTGTTGTATCCTATGATCTGGCAAATTCCTGTAGCACAGGGCTGCGTGTGCCTGCCTGGGGCACTGCAGGGAGATTTGTGACTTAGCAGTGCAGCAGTGACTCAGGCACAGATAACTGCTGATGGTTGCTTAGATTTAGAGTACCTGGTGGTGTGCAGTGATGTGCTCAGCTATTTCTCTGTCTTCTTGGAGAGTTTTTCCTACTCTGAAATAATGAAGCTTCTCCCTAAATTGCTTTATCGTGGCAGAATCATATTATAAGGTCCAGTATGTTTTTTACCCCTTTTCCTTGTTCAGGACAATGTAGCTGTTTCCCTTTGCTCTGTTTGTTGAACTTGGAGGTTATTTGTTTCTCTTTCATGTTCCCTCCTTGCTAGAATGTTTGTTTACATTCAGTGTGAAGTTTTGCAGTGCATCCAAGGACTGCTTGTGAGCAGAGATTTCCAAAGGGATACATAAAGTTTAATTCTCTCTCTGATTGCTGTCTTCTACACTTTGGTTTGAAAAAGGATCGTGAATGATGGTGAAATGATTCCCATTCTCCTTTGAGTGCATCTATGGGAGTTTCCCTGCCTTAGTGTACAGGAGGGATTTGTTGAGAGCCTCTCCCTGTTCTTTGCTGCAGTTTTTCTCCTGACCTTGCCCTGGACTCCCCTGGCACTGACCACTTTGTCATCATTGCCCAGCTGAAGGAGGAAGTGGCTACTTTAAAAAAGATGCTTCACCAGAAGGATCAGATGATTTTGGAGAAGGAGAAGAAGGTACAGTCCTTGGCTTGCTTCCTCCCCAGCAGGCTGACATGTTCTCACAGTTCACACTCTGACACAGCCTGTTTTTTTATCTTGGAGTTAACATGTCTGGCTGTTTCCAGGCTGCCTCCTTTCCAAAGCCAAAGAGGCTCTCTGGACCCACCCAGAGGATCTCATTTCATAAAGGGTCATTTCCTGACCACTTGGAGACCTCTGTGTGTGGGCAAGGCTGGGAATAAACATGCTGCTGCTTGGAGAAATGCAGTGCTGGCCTTTGCTGTTGCTCTGTGCTCTCAGTGACACAGTTCTGCTCTCGTTGCAGTCCCCCAGCACTGCCAGCATGTCTGTGACCTCAGCCGGTGTCACACACCTTCTGTAGAGACACTTTCTGTGGCAGGGGCTCTGTGGGGAGGGCAGTTGTTGCCTCTTTCAGCTCACTTGCTCCTTCCTGGTTTCTGCACAGATCACAGAGCTGAAAGCTGACCTGCAGTACCAAGAATCACAGATGAGGGCAAAGATGAACCAAATGGAGAAGACACACAAGGAGGTCATGGAGCAATTACAGGTGACAGCATTTTTTGTTTAATTTGCTGAGCTGTGTTGTAACCAGGAGTGACCGAGGACATTCCTGAGCTGTGTCCAGGAGGGACTGAGGACACTCCTGATCAGAGCACCCCGTGAGCTCCTGCACACAGATCTCTGCTAATGCTTCTCAGCCCTGTCCTACAGCCTCTGTGCTGCCAGGCAAGCCCCTCCCGAGCTCTGCATTGCATCCCGACCACCATTCACACCTACCTTGCTGCTCTCTACTCAGGCTCACACTTCCTGTGTTGTAAAGTGCTATGTTATGTCCCTTATGGACTAGACAGGAACCATCAAACTCATCTTAGTTATTGACAAAATCAGGTTTGAACCTGTTTCTCCAGTCTGCAGAACCTTTGTCAGCTCCCTGAACCTCTAAATCACCTCCCTGTGATTTGTGTGAGCAGTAACCAGAGAGAACAAAGGAACAATTGGCAGTTCTTTTAGCCCTGTATCTCCAGTCCAAATAAAGAAGTCCCTGAGCTGATGGAAGCAGGGAGGGCAGGATTCTTGTCATGGCTGTGGAAACACAGCAGACTGTCAGCATGAATAGCTTGAGCCACCGAAGGGATCAGGTCAAAGGGGAAGAAATGAGACACAGAAATGAACTTTGCACCCTTTAATTACTCTGGGTATATAAAGATCTAAAGCCCCAGCAATGAGAGGTGGGAGGGGATGAGACAAAAGGCTTCTGTTGCCCCTGAGGAAACAGCCCCTCCTCCATCCACACCCACTCTGGGGAAGTATCCCAGTGGAAGGCAGGTTTGGGGCCTCCAGCTGCAGTCAGAGTGCTGGGGCCTGTGAGAATCCCTTCACAGGACACGTCCTTCTGCCTGGCTGAAGGCTGCAGTGTGGGAATGTGGTGTGCAGGGGGCTGGATGTGCTGTTTCTGAAGGTAAAGGAGCATCAGATCCAGGAGCAAATGTGCCCCAGCCACCTCCCTCTCTTGGGGTTTTCCATGTCTGTGCTCAGCTCAGGCTGGGACTGCCCTGAACTCTGGTCCAGACATTTTTTCTGCTAGTATTGGCTGAGTCTTTGGAAATCTTTTTCAATGATTGCAAAATCAAAGTTCAGATCCTCTCAGTGTATTGCAGGTGCCTTGAACTGTTTTTATTATTAATTTTTGAACAGTATTGTGGGTTTTATCATTTTGTCTTTGTCCTTTCCTGTGGGGCTGGCATGGGAGAGCCCTCTCTAGGGGGTTAGAGGTGAGCTCAACATCTGCCCCCCCTTTCCACCTGTCTGTGGGATGTCAGCAGCTTCTACACAGGGATCCCAAGAGCTAATGATGATCCATGCCACTAAATACCCATTTTTCCCTGTTTGCAGGCCAAGAACAGAGAGCTCCTGAAGCAAGCAGCTGCCCTGTCAAAAGGCAAAAAGCCTGAGAAGTCAGGAGCAATAACCTCCCCTTAAAGCCAAACCCCCAGCCTGGGAGCTTTGGCCAGCATTAGCCGAGGAGCCTGGGAGCCCTGCTGGATCACTGGAAGCCCGAAGCTCTGTGTTGTCACTGTCCCACTGCTGGGGACTCCATGGGATTCCTGATGCCTGTTACCTTCTGACAGCATGCCTGAGTGTGGCCAGTTTGATCCATGGGGAGAAGTCCCAGCCTTCCTAAATCCCCCCCGAAGTACTGTTTCCTGGAAGAAATCTTTTCCTTACCAGTTGCTACCACTGCCAGCCCTTTCCATGAGCAAATAGGAACCTGCTGCATTAGAGGCTCCTTGCCTGCTGCTGTGAGGGAATTGCCATGGCCAGTTGTTCTGCAGATAAAATGGGAGCTGCATGTGGTGGGAGCTGGATTTTTTTTTTCCTTGAACTGTTCCTTCTTCAAAAGAGAGTTGAGAACTCACCAGCCCAACAGATGTTCCTGGGAGGTTGTGCCACTGCCGACAACAGTTGATCCAGCTTTTTGAAGATGCTTCCAAAATGGAGGCCATGTATTTATCTTGGAAGATTTTTGTGTTTTGTTTTGTTTTTTCTTCTTTTCTCTGTCAACTTGGCAAACCAAACTGCCTGGTTTTGTGTTTCCTTGTTTTTCTGATCAGAGCTTTTGGGTTGGGAGCCAAAGTGGAATGATACAGCCCCCAACCCACCCAGAATTCTCCCTCCCAGTGCCCTGGTTACATGGTGACCTCTGGGATTTTGATGATTTCTGCAGCTTGGTGCGATCAAGTGTCTCTTACTCCATTTCTTTACACAGAGAGAGTTCAAGGCTCGGATATTCCCTCTCTTCCCCCTTTCCCTGCCCCTTCCAGATGCAGGGGCCAGGCTGGCTCCAGGAAAGCACTTACTCAGGCAGCAACCCAAGCCAGGGAGTGTTTTTTGGGGCACTCCAGGGATTTTTCTCACTGCTGATTCCAAACCAGCAGGATCAAAGGGCTATGAGAGTTCCCTGTACCAGGGATGTGCTGCCCCGAAACAGCACGGCTGCCACTGACCCTTACAGCCAGACCAGCTGGGTAGGTCCCCCCAGGCACCTCTTCTGGGGTGATTGGAGGGGGAGCACCCACAACTCCGGGCTGGCAGGAGCTCCTCAACATCCCGAACTCCAGACAGGGAGTGGAGAAACATCTCAGGGCTTGGAGACCCCCGGGCAGGGGCTGAAGGTAGGTAAGAGAACTCATGCTTTTGCTGCAGGGCGGCTGCTCCATCAGGGCTTTGATGAAGCTTTTAACTAGAGCTTGTGATTACTTTTTTCATCCTTTTGTTTCTTATTTGTTACTAAAGTTGATTTTACTCAAAGGCACTTTTTTGGGATGATGTTGGCCTCTGGCACGGAAGGAGCATGTTTCATCGAACACTGCCATGTATTTGTTTTTGATTTTTCTAAAGAGACTTTTGATGTGAAAACAAGCAAAACCAGAAATTGTTACAAATTTGCCTGAGTGTGGCAGCTGGAAAAACTCACCCAATTTTATACTTTTAGAAAATGAAGTGCATTGGTGGGAGTTTTTTTAACTGTGGGCTTTGCTTTTTTTCCTTCCCTCAACATACAGAAATAAAAGGAGGGAGAAAGGCCCTGTAAATACTGTTCAGTTGGGTTTTTAATCGTGATAAATTGCTCCTGCCGTCGCGTAGCTGATTTGTAGCACCAACATCGTTTCTTTGTATGTTTGTAATAATGAAATTTTCAAGGGACTCTTTGATTTGTACAAATGACACCTGTAAAAGTGGTTTAAAAAAATCCTCCTCCGTGGCTGATACTTTGTTTGCTTTGAAAAGGGAAAAAACCAAACCAACCAAAGTACCTCTCCCTGCCTGGAGCTGATTTATCTCCTGCTCTAGGGTTGGGAGTTAGGGGAAGGAGACAGTGTTTTCCCATTGTTTGCTCTGCTCCTACTTTTTTTTCTATCTTTAAATGCTCCCATCAAGCCTGTTGCTAGGATCCTGGTTACTTGGTTACATCCAGCTTCCCGGGACCCATCCGGCTGTATCTGAGGAGATTATTCCTGATCTCGGCAAGGGGATGTGACTGGCACAGACAGAGACACCCACTCCTCTGGCATGGAGGTTTTCCCTTTTCCCATGAGATTTCCATGAAGAAAATTCAGCTGCCCCTCGTCTTTTTGCAAGGAAACCTCCAGAGGTCTGGGAGTCTAAAGGGGTTTTAACTTTGACCCTTTTCTTTATTCATATCCAGTCCCCTGGAGCACATGGGGATAGCAGCTCCTTCCTGCTGCTACACCCAGAGCAATGAGGATCACTGACCAGTACAAACCAGTACACACCACAGTGTCTAATGTTTGTTGCTGAAGCCACACCCATCTGCCTGCAGAGCAGAAATCCTGATGGAGTGCTGGCAGCTCCTGAGGGCCAGGATCACCTTGGGAGTCACCTTCCCTCCAAGCCTCTGAACAGAGCAGCTGCAGAGGAAATGAGAGGAAACAGCCTCAAGGTGTGCCAGGGAGGGTTTAAATTGGATCTCGGGGACAATTTTTCCGTGGAAAGGGCTGTCCAGCCCTGGCACAGACTGCCCAAGGAAGCTGTGGAGTCCTGGAGGAATTTGAAAGCCATGTGGGTGTAACATTTGGGGACAAGGGTTAGGTGATGGCCTCCAGTGCTAGGGCACCAGTTGGACTGGATGCTCTTAAAGATCTTTTCCAACCTGAACGATTCCATGATTCTAATTCCCTTCTCCACCCCACAAATGCTCTGGACTTCCTTCTTCCAGCCAACAAAGCCCTAATGCTGCAGGTTCTCCCACTGGAGTCTGTAGTGGGGTGACAGTCCAGTGACAATCGGGCTCCTGCTCTTTGAGCGGAGCACATAAGGGAAGGAAACACTGAAAGAATATTCCATGTCTTACCTGCCCCAGGTGTCCCCTCAGAGTGTCCCTGTATGGTCTCTGCTGCCCAAAACCACCAGCTGGTGAAAAAGGCAGGAGTTGTCCCCAGCCAACCTCCCTCTAAGGTAACACACCTTGAGCAATTTGCCTCGCCTTGCTGTTCAGCTTTCCTGGAGCACCAGACTTGTCCAGTCAGCAGGATGGTGACCAGGGCACTGTCCCAAAATAATTGCCTACTGTTGCTTGTTTTTAAATCCCTGGAGAGATTTAAAAGCCATGTGAATGTGGCACTTGGGGACAGGGGTTAGTGGTGGCCTTGGCAGTGCTGGGGTAATAGTTAAACTTGATGATCTGAGAGGGCTTTTCGAAACTGAACAATTCCATGATTCTATGGGATGCTGAAGCTGTTCTGCAGTGCCCAGCATGGCCTGCTCCTGACTCCCAGCATGGGTGGCCAGATGCTCCCTGTACCAGGCTGCTGTGGGAGCAGGGACACAGCCGGGAAAAGTGCTGAGCCTGCAGGTAGCCCAGTGAGGCTGCAGGTAGCCCAGTGCTTGCCGAGTGGGCTGACGAAGGGTGAGGAGCAGATGGGGGATCTTGTGCTGCTCTGAAACCTGAACCTCTGTGCCCACCCAGCCGTGCTGGGCCCCTCCTGCCCCTGCTGTACATGCAGGAGTTGTGTGTGGGACAAATTCCCTCCTGGCACAGCCCTTCGTGTCTTCTGATGGGATATTTTTATATTAAATATTTGGCAGCATCTCCAGCCCATCTCTTCAGCTGGATCATTGCCTGATGCACACCCACAGCCCTGTTCCTCTAATATCCAGAGCTTTTTGGGGAGCAGAAAGGGGAGAACAGAGGCAGCCCACCCCTCTCATCCCCCCCCAGTTTGCTTGCTCTGTGTTGCCTTTACTGATGCAAGGGAAGAGATGTGTTTTCCCTGCCAGGCTGTGTTCAGCCAGCACAAACACAGAGCTCATGGCCTCAGGTGGAACCGTGGAGTCATGGAATGGTTTGGGTCGGAAGAGACCTTAAAGCTCATCTTGTTCCACCTCCTCCCATGGGCAGGCACAGTTTCCACTACATCAGGTTCTGGTGAGCAGCAGCGCCTCTGCTTGTGCCCCGTGTCCAGCAGCTCTGTGGGGTGTGACATTGCCAAAGGAGCTGGACTGGGGTGACAGAGGCTAAAACAGCACCTCTGACCCCAGGGCAGTGAGAGGCCACGTTCCCTTGGATCAGATGAAATGAAGCCCCTGAATCGTGCCTCTGAAATGACACAAATGGAAATACAGAAGTGGAAACCTTGAGGTAGCCAGAGCCACCCAGACCCCACAGCCTCGGCACAGAGCCGTGTTTGCAAAACACCCTAAAAATAGCCCCAGGAAGGGGGCAAGGACAAGGAGCAATGACCAGGGACATTTGAGACTGCATCCTCCCTGCCCGCAGAGGCTGGGGCTGTGGGCTGTGCTCTGGTGGCTGTTGCAGCCGTGGGCCAGTGCTGCAGTGCCAAGGAGCCCTGACGTTCCCTCTGCTGGCAGGAGCTCAGCCCGGAGCCAGAGGAGGCTGTTGCCAGGCAAATCCTGAGTTGTTTGTGCAGCAACTCCTGTTTGCTGGACTTTGTTGTGTTGGGCTGTCAGGCAGCACCAGATTGGTACCAGTGCTGTGTCGGGGACAGCCTATGATTGTGGGGGTGGGTTTTTTATTTTATTTTCACTTTTTTTTTCCTTCATTATTTTTCTTCTTTTCACTTTTTTTTTTTTTTTTTTTTTTTTTTTTACTCCTGTCCCTTTGGAGAAACACCAAACCCGGTAAAAGAGGCAGAGAATCCCAGACCATTTTGGTGGGAAGGGATTCTAAAGCCCATCTCATTCTGCCGCCCTCTGTGGGCAGGGACACCTTCCACTATCCCAGTTTGCTACAAGCCCCATCCAGCCTAGTCTTGCACACTTCCCAGGATCCAGGGGCAAACTGGGCAAACTCTGCCAGGGCTTCCCCTCCAGCACAGGGAAGAATCCCTTCCCAATACCGCATCTATTCCTGCCTTCTGGCAGCAGGAAGTCTTTCCCTCTTGTCCTGCCACTCCAGGCCCTTGTCCCAAGTCCTTCCCCAGCTCTCCAGGAGCCCCTTTAGGCACTGGAATGGGCTCTAAGGTTTTCCCAGAGTTTTCATTTCTCCAGTCTGAGCACCTTTAGTTCTCCCCGTCTTTCTCCAGAGGGTCTCCAGCCTTCTTTGGAGCATCTTGGCCTCCTCTGGGCTCACTCCAGCAGTTCCCATATCCTTCTAATGCTGGTGGCCCGGAGCTGGCCCGGCAGGCGGGCTCTCAGCTGAGCGGAGCAGAGGTAGTTTCTCTCGGCTTTCTTCTCCCTTTAGCCCCAGGACACATTTCCAGCACTTCCAGCGTTCAAGGGTCGGGGAAGTGCGGCCGGCTCTGGGTAGACCTGGTGTCTGTGTTCGGCAATACGGCCACGCCCCCGCGCTGCTATTGGTCCGGTTGTTGCTGGGCGATCACGCCCGCGAGCTCCCATTGGTGGAGGCAGCCCGGGGGGCGTGTCCCCGCCCGCACTATGTAAGCGTGGCGGGCGCGGGTCCCGGGGTCGCTGCGGAGCGCGGGGGCGAGCGGGGGCGAGCGGGGCTGGCCCCACCGCCCATCCCCACCGTGATGCTGCTCGCCAGCTCGCCGTGCAGCCCCGCGGGGCTGGAGGAGCACCGGGGCTGCGGGGCCCGGCGGGGCGGCCAGGTAAGGGCTCCTGGGCTGTATCGCCCCATCCCCGGGCGCACGCGGGGCGTTGGGGGTGTGCCCCGAGCCGCGGCCGCTGCCCGGGGTCACCTGCCCCGCCCAGCTGCACTGACACTCCGTGCCATCCCACACCCGTTTGCTGCTCAGGAGCGGGGGCCAGGCTGCACCTTCCGCCTCCAGAGGGGTTTGAATTATGCCATCATGTGCCCCTCTATGGGTCTGTGGGTGCTGTGGGAGCGCAGCTGCCCCCCTCCGGCTCTGAGGAGTGTGGGCCAGAAAGGACCTGAAGCCCGTGCTTGGAGCAGGGGGAGCCCCTGTGAGCAAGGGCTAATTTCTGGATTAACTGTGTTAATGAATTTGGAGGAGGGTGGGGGAAATGGTGATATTTAGTGGCGTTTTGTGCCCAGGGAGGGGTTAGTGGCCCCCCCGAGGCCGTGTTTTGCTGGTGATTGTAACCACAGTGCCGCGGCTGTGCTGCTCCTGACCCCGCTGCCGTCCCGCGGGACCCCCGCACCCCGTTTCTCCCTGTTTTCCCATGGAGGGGGTAAATCCCGGCTCGAGAGTGGTGTCACCACTCCGGGCCCGTGGGGCCACAGCTCCGGTGTCCCGGTGTGTCACGCGCGTCCGGGAGCGGAGCAACATCGCAGCCCGGTTTCATCAGGCACTTCCAGCCTGACGCAAAGGGTGTGGGGGTGATGGCCCCGTGGCCCGTGCCGGTGTCCGCCTGAGTCACCCCTTCCGGTGACGCTGACGGGGATATTCCATGGCTCCGGTGACTCCCGGCTGTGCCTTCCTTCCTAGGAAAGAGGAATCAAGGCTCCCCGGGAGCTGGCGAGGGGCCCCAGCACCTTCATTCCCTTGGGAGAGGTAAAGTGATGGGGATTGACTTGGGTGGGGGGTCTCCTTCACCCTTCCCTGCTGCGGGTGCGGGGACAGGAAGGATTCCCAGCCCCCCAATTCCCAGTGCCTGGTGGGGGTGGGATGCTGAGGAAGGAGGAAGGGGTGGAGAGGGGTCACTCACCGCAGGTGGATCCTTGTGTCATTGTGGGGGAGTCATTCTGGAGATTGGGAGAACAGCTGTATTTCACCCTGCTCTTTGCCTGTGCCTCAGTTTCCCCACTCATCCAGACACATCTGTGTTTTCCCTGCCATGCAAAGACTCACACCCTTGCCCTGTCGGCCCCCTAACATTCTGCCCTGAAATCCCCAGGGCACCTGGGCCCTATCTCAGCACCCAGACTCACTCTTCCAGATGTTCCTTCTCAGGCAGAGATAGCGCCGTGGTTTCGTCACTGCGCTGGGGGGCTGACCCCGTCTCCTCCCCTGCGCTCCAGAGCCCAAACAAACAACCCAGCCCACAGGCTGAGCCGGGCGGGCTGTGTGGGATCTGTCATGGAGACCCCCAAAGAGGCTCTGCCCGCCGGGACGGGCAGCGGGGGCCCCCGGCGGTGCCCGTTCCGGAGGCGGGGCACTTCCAGTGGGGTGAGGATCCGATCTCGGTGCTCTTGGGTGCCTGGGTCCTGCTTGCTGAGGGGGCTCCACTGAGCTTAGAGGGATGTTGGGAAGAGCGGGGGGCCTACAGCTCACAGCCCTTCAGTTCCCTGCTCTCCTCATTCTGCAGATCCCGCAGGAAGGTGGGGACAGCAGCCTGCACCAGCTCCTCAAGGCCTTCGTCTCGGCAGGCAGGGTGGACCACGTCGCCATGGTCATGGGGCTGCACCCCCAGTACCTGAGCAGCTTCTGGAAGACCCAGTACCTCCTGCTGCGCATGGACGGGCCCCTGCCCTACCACAAGCGCCACTACATCGCCATCATGGTGAGCAGTGGGGCCCTGGGCGTGTGGGGACACAGGGTGCTCTGTGGGGTCCCAGCACTGCTGCTCGGGGTGCATCCGGGACCCCACAGAGAGGTCCCTCTCTGGTATGACATCCCAAAAGCATAGAAGCCCCTTTGGGGTTGGTGCCCGCGCAGGGTACCCCAAAACCTTCCCTCCAGGACCCCTGGGGACTGGCCCTGATAGTGAGAGGGGAAATCCCCCTGTCTAGAGCTCGTATCCCAGGGAAAATCCTCCAGGAGCAATGTGGGACGAGTGGGCTCCCTGCCTTGGCTTCTTGAAGGGCTTGTAGCGGGGTGGGGGTCCCTGGGGGCTGACTGCTGGCTCTCCCTGCAGGCAGCAGCCCGGCACCGCTGCTCCTACCTGGTGGGGTTGCACATGGGGGAGTTCCTGCAGGTGGGGGGCAACCCTGCGTGGCTGCGGGGGCTGCACTGTGCCCCCCAAAAACTCCGGAACCTCAACGAGATCAACAAGCTGCTGGCACACCGGCCCTGGCTCGTCACCAAGGAGCACATCGAGGTGAGAACTGATGCTGCCAGCACACATCCTCCCCCAGAACCCCAGGGGCCACGTTCCTGCTTGCACAGTCCCCAAGCTTTAACCCTTTGGGGGGCTGAGGGAGTCAGTGGGATGGGAAGGGGTGACTTGCCCTGGACTGTGGGTGAAGCACTTCCCAAACATGCTCCTGTATCCCTGCCACTGGCTTGCCCCAGCACTGGGCTGTGGTGGGTGTGCAGCTGAGGGCTGGGGGGTCTCTCCAACCCCTGCTGTGTGTCACAGGCTCTGCTGAAGCCAGGGGAGGACAGCTGGTCGCTGGCAGAGCTGGTGCAGGCACTGGTGCTCCTCACCCACTACCACTCGCTCGCCTCCTTTGTCTTCGGCTGCGGCATCAAACCCGAGGAGGAGCAGGATGTGGGGAACAGCTGCTGGACCCCCTCACCCCACGGTGACAGCAGCCCTGCCTCTGATGACAGCATGGGGGGCTCTGGGGTAAGAGGGGCTTTGCCTTGCGGGGTTGTGAGTGTATCCTGGGGTGGTGGATACTTTATGGGGAATCACAGATCAGCTTGGGTTATTCTGGCAATGGGAAGCCATTCCCCCTTGTCCTGTCCCTCCAGGCTCTTGTTCCAAGTCCCTCTCCAGCTCTCCTGGAGCTCCTTTAGGCACAGGAAGGGTCTCTAAGGTCTCCCTGAAGCCTTCTCTTCTCCAGGCTGAACACCCCCATCTCTCGCAGTCTTGTTTCCCGAGTAGAGGGGCCCAGCTCTCAGAGAATCTCTGTGGCCTTTACTGGGAACAGCTGATGCTTTAGAGCCATGCAGTACCTTCCACATCCTCCACAGGACTTCCCCCTCCTTGCAGACCTGGGGATGGGTCATGGGAGCTGCTGGAATCTGGGCAGGAAAAGCCCAGAGGGAGACGCTCATTTGAGCAGCCCAGGGACTTCCCCCAAGTGCCAGATCTGGGCTTGGGGGCCCCTCTGGTCAGCCAGGGGCAGAGTTGACCCTGCCCTGTGCTTCCCCAGGGCACAGATGCCATGCAGGAGGTGGAGATGCTGATGGAGAGGATGAAGCTGCTGCAGGAAAACCAGCTGGAGGAGGAAGGGGTCACACAGGAGGAGATGGCAACGCGCTTCGAGCTGGAGAAGACAGAGAGTTTGCTGGTCCCTTCCTCAGGTGAGGGGGCAACTGTCTGGGAGCTTTGTCCCCATGGGCCAGGGGAGCCTGAGGAGGGGGAAAGGAGCCAGAATCTGCCTGAGGGAGAGCAGGATCAGGTCCTCAGTGCAGCGCTGACTCCATCTGGGCTCATGGCCACTGCGTTGGTGCCTTGTAGATATTTTGGATCCCTCCCTGCAGTCCAACATCCGCTGCTTCCTGGACGACCCTGAATTCGGATACAAGGACTTCACACGGAGAGGGGAGCAGGCCCCCCCCACCTTCCGTGCACAGGTGGGTGCTCAGCAGGGCTCAGGTCTGGGGGTAGCTCCTACTTGTGTTGGGGTTGTTCCCAGGACTGGGGACAGTGGGTGAAGGGCTGGAGCTGAGCAACCAGGTGCTGAGAACTGGGGGGAAGTGTCAACTTAGGGGGAGACCCCACCCCCTGGCTTTGGGGGTTGTTGTGGTTTAATGCCAGTTGGAGATGAAACATAACACAGCTGCTCACTTAGCCCTCACTTTCTTCCCTCCAGCCCAGGGAGGAAAATCAAAATAAAACTTGTATGTTGAGAACAATTGAAAAATAATTGAAAAGAAAGTAAAATAAAATTATAATGATAAATAATGATAATAATGACAATGAAAAGGGAAAAAACAAGTGATGCACAATGCAATTGCTCAGCACCTGCTGACTGATGCCAGACCCCCCTTTCAGGTAATTCCCCCAGTTTATATACTGGGCATGGTGTTCTCTGGTGTGACATTCTCCCTGTGGTCAGTTTGGGTGACCTGTCCTGGCTATGCTCCCTCCCATTGGCAGAGCCTGAAACAAGAGGAATAAAATCCTTGACTCAGGATAAAACCCAGACCATTGGTTTGTTACCAACACCCTTCTCATTCCAAGTCCAAAACACAGCACTGGAACAGCTACTGAGAAGAAATTAATTCTACCCTGCCTGAAACCGGGACAGAGGGACCCCAGTTTTCCTCACCAAACCCCTACCCTGGCATCCTTTCTCCACCAGGATTACACCTGGGAGGACCACGGCTACTCGCTGATGAACCGCCTGTACCCCGACGTGGGGCAGCTCCTGGATGAGAAGTTCCAGGTGGTTTACAACCTCACCTACAACACCATCGCCATGCACTGTGGCGTGGACACCTCGGTGCTGCGCCGGGCCATCTGGAACTACGTCCACTGCGTCTTCGGCATCCGGTACCTCCCCAAAACGTGGCTGCACTTCCTTCTCTGCCTTGGGAAGGGCCCACAGCAGGTCCTGTGCCTTGGTCTTGGTTAGAGCGTTGCTGCTGCTTCCCTAAGGCAAAGTGATGCTGTTGGCACGCTTGGCTGAGGCTCAGAACAACCCCGGGAAAGGAGAATGTAGTAAAAAATCACAATAAGGGTGGTGAGGCTCTGGCAGAGTTTGCCCAAAGAGGTGATGGAATTTTCATCCTTGGAAGTGTCCAAGGCTAGGTTGGATGGGGCTTGGAGCAACCTGGGATAGGGGAAGGTGTCTCTGCCCTTGGCAGGCAGTGGGACTGGATGGGCTTTAAGGTCCCTTCCAACACAAACCATTCCATGATTGTGGGAATGCACAAGGCTTGGAATAACACATCCTCCTCTCTCCAGCTATGATGACTACGACTATGGGGAGGTGAACCAGCTCCTGGAGCGCAACTTAAAGATCTACATCAAGACAGTGGCTTGCTACCCGGAGAAGACAACCAAGCAGATCTACACGCAGTTCTGGAGGCACTTCAAACACTCAGAGAAGGTGCTGCCCCGTCCCTCCCCCTCCTGGCGGGCGTTTGGGGGTGCTGGCCCTGGCCCTGACTCTGCTCTCGCCATAGGTGCACGTCAACCTGCTCCTGCTGGAGGCCCGCATGCAGGCGGCTCTGCTCTACGCCCTCAGGGCTGTCACTCGCTACATGACCTGAGCTGCCGCTGCTCCCTCCTCCTGCCCTGGCTGTGCAGACAGGCCAGGGGGCAGCTGGAACCCTGAAAATCCATCGGGAGTCTTGTCTCCCTGCTTAATGAGCTGTGGAAGTAAAGTGGGAGCTTCCCTGAGCTTTCTCCCAGACAAGGGGAGCCCCAAGAAGCTCTCAGTGCTGGGGAGACCCCAAAGTGCTGCCTGGGCTTGGTGAGTGCTCTACTGCTCCATCCTTTTTGGGGTTAGCCCCAGTGAAGCTAAACTGGGATGTCTGTGGGGGCAGTGCTGGTGTCACACCCCTGTGACATGTCCGGGTACCAGGGCTGCCACCAAAGAGCACTGTCCCCCTGCCCGAGATGGCCAGAGGATCTCTTGGGCTTCACCCCTGCTTTTTGGGTCCTGCTGGGCTGGGAGACACAGTTGCTGGTGGGGGTGCTGCCCAGGCACCCCCCTCACCTTTCTGCCTCATCCCCTGCAGTTTGGGATGTGAAGTGCCTTTAACCTAAGTGCCAGGGCAGGAGCAGGGAAAGGGTAGGAATACCCGAGTGTGTTTTACACCTTTTTGCATTGTTTTCTAACCACTGGCACATTTCCACTGCCTCAGCTTTAGGGGCTGAGGTGGGGAGCTGTGCTGGGGCATGAGGCTCCCTCAGCCTTTGTCCTGCTGTGAGGGTGGCAGGGTGGGATGGGGTGGCCGTGGCTTTATCCCGATCTGCCAGAGCATTCCCAGCAGCACAGGTCGCCATGGAGGTGCCTGTTGGGGAGCAGGATCCAGGGCCAGCAGCATCACCACCCTTGGTTTGGCTGATGAATCTTAGCTCCAGTTATTTCTGTATTAACTCATGATTAGGCATGGAAATGCCTCTGTAACTTTGCTATTAATCTTGTTTGAAAAAATAAAGTAGTTCTTTTTTTATTCTTTTTCCTTTTTCACTTTTCCTTCGGTCAGCCCAGGGGCTAATCCTGTAGGCAGGTATAGAGTGCAGGGGTCTTGCTGCTATGGGAGTGCCTGGGAGCATCCCTGACTTGTCCAAGGTGAGATGGGGGAGGTCTGAATACTCCCCAATTGCCTCAAGGGCATGGGTTTGACTTCAGTAAACTCTCCTCGTGGTGGCTGTTTCCAGTCTTTCCTGGCTGGAACTTCTTCCAGGAAAGGCAGGATTTAGACCCGACACTCCTCCCGCTGTGGGTGTCCCGTGGGGTGCCCTGATCCACTGCTGGCATGGAGCTGAGCTGCCGTGGTGCTGTGGAGCCCAGCACTTATCAGGGTGTGGGCAGGAGCCCCTGGAAGCTGCTGATAAGATCCCTGAGGAGAGGCAGCTCATCTTGGAAGGTGCCAGGTCCTGGCTCTGGGGCTGCTTGGGACCCTCTGGCCCCCACAGCCAGCGGGGATCTGCCCCTCTGAGCAGGCAGGGGGAGGGCAGTGGGGCTACGAGGGAGCCTTGGTGAGGGTTTGCTGGGATTTATGGGGTAGTCTCTATTTTGGGGGAAAGAGGTTTGAGGGCAGCTTTTTTTTGGGGAACTGAGGCAGGAGGACGGGGCTCCCTGGGCTTTGCTGGTTGTGCCAAAGTTCCTGGTGGACTTTTAGGGTGTCACCCTGTAGCACCAGAGAACTCTGTGTGGGGGCCTGGGGAGCTGAGCCAGCCCTTGGATCTCCATTAGCTCATAACCTGGGTCATTGCTTCACTTCAATCCCCTCTGCTTTGTACAACTGGTCACAATTATAAACCAATAAATTCTTCATCTGGTGCATAACCAAAGCCTGCAATTTGTGTGTGTATATATATAATTTCGCCGCAGCTTTCACTGTTGCCTTACAGGGCAGGTGTATTAATAATCCCCCTACCTGTAGTCGATAGTTATGATCCCAATAGGCGCTATTTTTTTTCCACTACACTTATCCTCAATTTAAAAACACAATGTGTTAGTGGTGTTTAACACACATTAAAGAAACAGGAAATAACAGTAGTAGTAATATAATTAATAATCTGTGCTGAAGGAGCCCTTTGAGCCTGCTGGAGCCCAAAGTGCTTGGCAAAGTCGCCATTCCTGGGCCATTCCTGCTGGCTGTGCAGGCTTCAGGCGGGGCTGGCGAGGAGAAGTGTGTGTGGCCGGACGGACACGCGGATCCGCGCAGGGCTGGGACCGGCCCGGGGCTGGGGCTGGGGCTGGGGCTCGGCACTGGCCGCTCGCCCCCGGCCCCTCCCGGCTCTCCCGGGCCGGCAGCGCCGCTCGCTGGGAGCCGCTGGGAGCTCGGGTCGCCCGCTGGAACCAGCCCCGCTGTGAACCTTGGCAGCCCGCACTGCTTTGGGTTCGAAGGCACCTCAAAGCTCATCTCGTTCCGCCTCTGCCCTGGGCAGGGACCCCTTGCTCTGGCCTGGGCTGTGCTGTGGGGGGGGTCGTGCCAGCATCTCCCTCCGCAGCCCGGAGATTTTCAGGTGAGATTTCCCTCCGAGGTAACCCAGGGAATCACCTCAGACCTCTGCGGGCAAACTCCAAACCCAAAGCCTCCTCCCAGTACCCCATCACCCTCTATGCCAACTCTGCATGGCCTCAAATCCCCACTCCTGCACCCCACCAACCCCTGCAGCAAGCCCCCATCTCCAAACCCCGCACTCCCAGCGCTCCCCACCCCAAAGCCCAGTCGCTCCCTGGCCTCAGAGCCTCCCTCCAACCTCCCCCAGCACCCCATCATCCCCCACCCCACGTCCCCTCTTGCCCCTTGACCCCAAAGCCTCCCTCCAAACGCCCCCGACACCGAACCCCGGTTCTCCCCGTTCGGGGGGCGTGCCCCCCCCCAGCCGCACTACATCTCCCGGCATGCCCCGTGCGCCACTTCCGGCGGCGCGTCCCGGTAGCGGCGGTGGTGGCGGCGGCAGGAGCAGGTACGGGCGGGCGGGGGCCGGGAGCGCCGGTACGGCGGGGGAATCCCCGGTACGGCGGGAGAGCCCCGGTACGGTGGGGGAATCCCCGGTACGGCTGGGAACCCCGGTACGGCGGGGGAATCCCCGGTACGGCTGGGAACCCCGGTACGGTGGGGGAATCCCCGGTACGGCTGGGAACCCCGGTATGGCGGGGGAAATCTGCGGTACGGCTGGGGAGCCCCGCCGGGAGAGCCTCCCCGGAGCGAGGACGGGCCCGGAGAGCCCCAGCTCTGCCGAGCCCCCTGCCCGGGGACAGCGCCTCGGGACGGGGCGGGGGGCGAGAGGCGGCGGCCGAGGGACTGCCCGGGAACCGGCCCGAACGGGGCTCTAACACGGCTGAAACACGGCCCGAACACGGCTTTGACACGGCTGAAACACGGCCCGAACACGGGGCTCTAACACGGCTGAAACACGGCCCGAACACGGGCTCTGACACGGCTGAAACACGGCCCGGACACGGGCTCTGAGCACAAGGAGCGGAGCTCTCGTCCCGGCTCGCCGCTGTCCTCCGAAGGACAATTCGGAAACCCTGAGCGGCTTGGGCTGGGACTACAACAAAACCCGAGTTCTCGTTCCTACTGCCCTCCTGTGCCTTGCCGTGAGTGTTTCTAGCTTCTCCAAAGTTCCCTCTGAGGCAGCCCCGCTGGTATTTCTTTGTTTGATCTCTCCTGCCTTAATGTTGACTGAAATTTGAAACGTCCCCGTTCTGCTTTCTGGCTTAATTGTTCTTTCCCTCTGTTTGCACGCAGATGAATTATTTACCTCTGTGCCTTGCATTGGGTTCTGTTTGTCCAGGTGGAGGTAGGCGAGGGCTTGGTGCCCTTCTGTGGCGCTGAAACACTGTAGAAAAGGTAAATGATGTGAGAAGGTGCTCAGCTGAGGCTGAAATGAACGATAAAGTTCATTAATGATGCTTAAATGCTGCTTCCACAAGCCTAGAAAGAGGAGTCAAAGAATCCCAGAGTGCCTTAGGTTGGAAGGGACCTTAAAGCTGCTCTTGTTCCACCCCTGCCATGGCAGGGACACCTCCCACTGTCCCAGGCTGCTCCCAGCCCCAATGTCCAGCCTGGCCCTGGGCACTGCCAGGGATCCAGGGGCAGCCACAGCTGCTCTGGGCACCCTGTGCCAGGGCCTCACAGGGAAGGATTCCTTCCCAATATCCACCTAAATCTCCTCGTTGAGTTTAAAACTGCTCCACTTGTCCTATCGCTTTGTGCCTATATAAAAAGTCACTCTCCTTCTTTTTATAATCTTCCTTCAAGTATTGGAAGGCTGTAGTGAGATTTCCCAGGAGCCTTCTCTTCTCCTCATAATAAAGAAGCCTTTATTGCTTAAAGAAACCTGGAATTGTACAGGAGCGAGTGTTAAATTTTAAGTTTCGTGATGTTCCTGTTTTTCAAAAGCAAGTCCCGTGCGGAATCAGGGGAGGGGGTTGGTGAAGCTTCCACAGCCCACTCTTGGTGGGTAAAGGATGCTCAGCTGACTCAGTTTGATGTGCTACAGAAGCTGCAAGGGAGATTCCTCTCCCTGCTGTGATTTCCTCAGGAATACCTGATGCTCTTCAGACAGACCTTTTAAATGAATCCAAATTGCTTTTAAGAGTAGACAACACCTAAATTTGTGAGCTTACGTGGTTTAAATTCCTTTTTGTGAAGACTACAAAAAAGGGGCAAAACAGAGCCAAAATGAGGCCGGTTGTGAGGGATGGGGCTGGCACAGTTACACCAACTGAAGCTGGATATCTGCACAGCGATGGCAACAAAACCCTTTTCTAATTCAGGTTTAAACCTGTTCCTGCCAACAGTGCTGGGAATGACTGTGCTGTTCTGTCCCAAGTCAGGGAGGTTTCAAATGTGTCAGTGTGTCCTTTCACAGGTGATATCTGTTATCTGATAATGTATCAGAGTATTTTTGCAAGGAACGTTTTCTTTCTGGATTACGGAGAAATGAGCTGTGTCTGAGGGACGGAGCACACTCAGCTCCTGGGAGATGGAGTGGGAATCCTGTTGGGAGCACGGGGCAGTGCCACAAGCAAGGGGAATGGGATTGCATCCTTGTTTTCACTCTGCTGGATCAGTGATCTGTGATTTTACAGCCTTCTACTTCATTCAGGACTGGTTAATTTGATTTCCAGTTTAATTTGATGACAGTTTTGAGAGCCAAATCACTTGTATTTAAACAAATGGCTTCTATTTTGATCAAATTTCATTGTGTTTGGCATGTGTTGAAGCATTATATGTATTAAAAATCGCTGAGACTGCGGTTCCTGCAGGTTTATTAGCTGGTGATGAATCTTCAGTTACGAGCTGTACAAAAACTGTGTCTGGCCAGGGTGGGAGTGTGGGGGGGCTTAGAACAGAACTGGGTTTTTCTGGCTGGTCTCAGTGATACCGTGAATGAAGAAAGCCTCAAATATCCTTGGGACCATTTGGGTTACCTCAAAACCTGTCATTTTTCAGGCAAAACTGGAACTTTGGGCTGCAGGGAAGCTGGTAGGGCTGTTGGGGGCAAAGGCATCATCTTGCTCCTGCATCCATTAAAGTGGGAGTGGAGATGCTCCAGGTCATTCATAATGAGTTCCCTAATTCTCTTTAGCAGCGATTTTCTACTTACAAGTGCCATGTGGGTTTATTTTTCTGAGTGTGAGAAGGCTTTTATTTTTTGCTGGCAAGTTTGGAGCCTGTGGAAAACTAATGGATGTGCAACTGTGGCAGCGTTGGGCCTTGGCTTTGTATGGAGGGGAGAAAAACCCTTTCAGAGATCTATTTTTATCAGTTAATTAGTCGCTCTTGCTGACGTGTCAGTGCTTGGTGATAACTATTCCCAGCTCTTCCCTGGGAAGTGGGGTCATGCTTAGGCAAGGAATGCAGCACCAGCCTGGCTGCTCATCCCCATGGCTGGAGGTTTAACTCCTTCCAAACTGTGTCCCCGAATCCACGGGCAGATTCCACGGGAGGAGTTGGCATATAGATACACAGAATTCTGTCAATCTTCAGCAGAGCTGCTTTCCCACTGGTGACTGCCCTTAATTTTTCTTGCTCTTATCTGCTGATTTTGAATGACTCAGGACGATCTGTCAGGGTTGGAAGGTGACCAGGCAGAACATCTAGCAATTACATGTTGGTATTTTCCTTCTTGAAGACGAGGAATTGCTGTTTTCCTGATTTCAAAATGACGAAGCCCTTATTCTGGAAATTCCTGTGTTGTGCATTCTGTTGCTTGTGGCGTCAATTGTTGTTGATTCTCAGCTGTGATGAGACGGGGAGGTGAGAGGCAGCTTTGGTCTCAGCTGTACCCTGGTTGTCACTGCCTGAATTTCTTTGTTTATTGGTGACTCTCTGCTGAGGACGGGAAGGGGGAGGGAGGACTAATTATCTCCAGAGAGAGGCTTTCAATGCTATTAGCTAAAAGAAAGGCTTCATCTCCTAACTTGAATGACTTGAGAGAAATAACACGAAGCGCTGGTGGCAAAGATATGAAAATTGAGAGCAGTCCAAATGGTTTCTCTCTGCTGAGCCCTGGAAATAGATTTATTATTTCTTTTCCCCGAGCCTCTGGCTGGTAGGAGCTTTGGAGGAGTGAGGGAAGGGGTAAACAGATTGTTAACTTTATTCTTTTGTGTTTGTGCTTTTGGCATATGATTCCGGAGCACAGTTAGGGATCGCTCACCTACCAGCTGCGTGCAGTCGTGATGGGCAATTCATTATCAAGGACTAATTAACCACAGCTGCTGAGTGTCATGGGGCAAAACAAGGTGCATACTGATTTGTGCAAGCCTGGCACTTCCCTGCACTCGGTGCCTTTTGAAACGCTTTTGGGAAAGATCATTGGACTTTGGTAAAATTAGTGCTCTTGGACCTGAGGGTTTGAACCTTTTCACTGCCAGCTCCAGAAAGCTGCTGCTAAAAGCAGGAATCTCTTGGCTGCCAGAACCTAAATGTTTTCCTTTAGTTAACCAAGCCCCAAAAGTTAACCCCTTAATTAGAGCTGTGTTGCCACAGACTTAGTTCTATAAAATCCATCAAGATTAATCCCCACCATTGATTTAAACCGCAGGCTGCCCCATATGGGCTTCCTTCGTCACCTCACACTTGTCTGTGGGATGTGCTTTTCTCTCCCTTAGCTTTTAAGGATGCAAGGAAGAAAAAAATTTGTCCTAATCATATAGAAAAGCCTCGGTTTGTAAACTTGGATCAAAGTTTGGGAGGCACTGGCTTGTTTGGTGTCTGCACAGTGTTCAGTGGTGGGCCATGCTCAGACCTCTCACTGTGTAAACACTGTGTTGCAGAGGGTGACTTAGCAGAAAAAGAGATTATTGCTGGATGTGGCCTTGAGGTTGGGATCACAAGCTGTGTCTCAGGCTGTGCTCACGGAGGTGAAGCTTCCAGAGGTGTTTATGGATGGGGGATAAAGCCAAATGTTGTCTTCAGAGTATTTGAGCTTTGAACAAAGCACGTCACCGTGCCAGTTCTCAGGGGGCTCTAGGTGTAGTCACATGCCTTTGAAGGTTGTGTTCTCTCGTCTAATCCTTCTGTCCTACCCAAAATCAAATCAGGGATGTCTGTCAGCTGCTGAACTCGCTGCTCTGGGTCGGGGGGATCTGTTCTCACTGTGCCTGCTGGAAGGGGGCTTTGGTCAATGTTATTTCTGTCTTGGCAGGAGCTCCCCTGCAGATGCACAGAAGTGCTGCTGGTGCTGCGTTATCGATTCCTCTCCTCTCCAGAGCTGTCTAAAAGTTTCTGCTGCTTTGCTGCAGTGCCAAGATCCACAGGAAGGAGGTTTGCAGGTACAGCTAACACCAGCCTTCACATCCCAGTGAAGGGAGACTTGAGTGGGTTTGTGCAGGGATAGAAGCAAGGTCAGGAGGATTTGAGCTGGTCTTTGCTGGCTGCCTCAGGTTGTCTGGGAATGCATTTTTAAAGCTGCTCTGCTGCAATGCTGACAGTGGAAATCTGGATGGATCCACAGAATATCTGCTCTGTGTTTCTGGATGGATGACCTTGTGCTGAGGTTATCTTTATGGGTCTAAGGAGGAGGAGGATAATTACTGAAATAGTGATAAGCTGTCAAATTTGGGCTAGTAAAATTGGGCTTTTATTTTTGGCAATATTAAGTTTAGTGTCTGTTGCAAACCAGGTGTAATTTACGTCTATGTGGGAAATGGGAGAAGCAGGAAAAGAGCTGTTACAGAATCATGGAATATGCTGAGTTGGAAGGGACCCATCACGGTCATGGAATCCAACTCCTACTAGATTTGTTCCCTTGTAAAGGGTGTTTGTGTGATGCCAGAGGAGAACAAATAATCAGAAGCAAAGTCTTCTTCCCTTACAGTGTTGATTGGCAGCAGGTGAGAAGTGGCATGTTCTCTGTAGGGGCACGGAAGCTTCGTTTACCTTGTGCTGAGAGTTAAATTAGTGCTTATATCCTGCTCCTGACTTGCTCTGTATCCTGCTCCTCCTGCCTGTGGATCAGGGCCAGAGGGGAGCAAGGTCATGGAATTTTTCATCTTGTACTTTCAAATCAGTTTTTAACAGACCCACAATTACGGTCAGAAGCACTGTGATTGCAGGTGTCTGTAAACGGGATTTTTCCTGACTCAACTGCACCTTCTTAGAGCAGGATCTGCCTCTGGGTGAAGTTGTCAGATGAGTGTGTCCAGTTCTCTTGGCTCATGCTGTTTTCCAGCAGTTTTGGAGTTGGGTGGCTTCAGGCCACCTGGCTTTTCTGTACCTGCTCAGATTGAGGTAAAGGCAGTTAACAGAGGGCCAGCAGTGCCAGAGCAGGAAGGGAAACTTGAGGAAAACTCTTACCTGGCACCTAACATTATAAAAATTGGATTTTTGCTGTTATT